ATTGTGAGAAAATTCTATTGATCAATCAAAATTTTATTATGAATAGAAAATTCTGTTGATCCATTAAAATTCCATTAGTAATAGAAAATTCTATTAATCCATTGAAATTCTATTATTAATAGAAAACTCCATATTTAAAAAATTTATTTCATCAATTAAAATTCTATTATTAATAGAAAATTTCATTAATTCATCAAAATTCTATCATTAATAGAAAACTCCATTATTCCAAGATTTCTTTGATTCATTAAAATTTTATGAATAATAGAAAATTCCATTAATCCATTGGAATTATAATATTAATAGAAAATTCTATTAATCTATTGAAATTTCATTGTGAAAAAATTTTATTTTTAATAGAAAATTCCATTAATTTATTGGAATTCTATGATTAGTAGAAAATTCTATTAATCTATTAAAATTCTACTGTTGGAAAATTTTAGTAAATTTCAGTCGATAAATTTTTAGATATTTTGTTATTGATAGAATCATTATCAATAGTCCATTTATCCATTAAAATTCTTTTTTTAATATAAATTTTTATGTCACATTCAGAATCATTATTATTATTATTAAATTTTAAATAATTTTTTTTTTCAGTCAATTCGATATTATCAAAGAAGAAGATGAAACAGAAGAAGTTAAAAACACTAAATTAGCCGAGTGGCTTTGGGTTACCAGCACCAAGTGGAGTAAATTATAAAATAAAATCGAGTATTTTATTTAAAATAGATTTTATGTAAATATTTTCTTTTAAAATAATTAATATGTATAATAAACTATTTATAACTCTTTATTATTAAATTATTAATATTAATTATTTTCAGTTTATGTAGCGCTTTACACTCCCATTCTTTTACATACAAACAGAATTATATATGTATATATAATATATATATATGCAAACATTTATTCTCTCTATCTATGTGTAAGTATATTTACACTCATGAAAATGTACGAGCAGCGGTCGGTGATCTTGCACTTGCTGAAAGTAAAACAACAATTTAAATATTGATACAAATAATAAATAATAAATTAAAGTGTTTGTTAAGATTTTAATAGTTTTTTTTTTTTTTATATAAAATTAAAAAAAGTTATTTATAGTTGGTTTAGTTTTTTGACAGTGGTAAGAAATTTTTAGGTTATATATATTACTTGTTATTTTTTAGTGCAGTTAATTTTTTTTAATTATTGTCAATTTTTGATAGTTACATTTATATTATTAAAATAAGATTAATTTTTTAAAAAATTTTAGTTTGTAAAACTAATTTTAAAAATAATTATAATTGGAAATAAAAAAACGTTTGACAGACGTTTTGTTTTTTTCATTAAATTTAGCTGTTCACTTCACAATTTTTTAATTTTCTTTAACAAAAGAATTTGTTCAAAAAAATTATTTTTAAAAAATTGCATCTTTAATTTATTAAAATTTCTACATGTCAATTTTTGTCTAATTTTAAATTTCAGTCGATAAATTTTTAGATATTTTGTTATTGATAGAATCATTATCAATAGTCCATTTATCCATTAAAATTCTTTTTTTAATATAAATTTTTATGTCACATTCAGAATCATTATTATTATTATTAAATTTTAAATAATTTTTTTTTTCAGTCAATTCGATATTATCAAAGAAGAAGATGAAACAGAAGAAGTTAAAAACACTAAATTAGCCGAGTGGCTTTGGGTTACCAGCACCAAGTGGAGTAAATTATAAAATAAAATCGAGTATTTTATTTAAAATAGATTTTATGTAAATATTTTCTTTTAAAATAATTAATATGTATAATAAACTATTTATAACTCTTTATTATTAAATTATTAATATTAATTATTTTCAGTTTATGTAGCGCTTTACACTCCCATTCTTTTACATACAAACAGAATTATATATGTATATATAATATATATATATGCAAACATTTATTCTCTCTATCTATGTGTAAGTATATTTACACTCATGAAAATGTACGAGCAGCGGTCGGTGATCTTGCACTTGCTGAAAGTAAAACAACAATTTAAATATTGATACAAATAATAAATAATAAATTAAAGTGTTTGTTAAGATTTTAATAGTTTTTTTTTTTTTTATATAAAATTAAAAAAAGTTATTTATAGTTGGTTTAGTTTTTTGACAGTGGTAAGAAATTTTTAGGTTATATATATTACTTGTTATTTTTTAGTGCAGTTAATTTTTTTTAATTATTGTCAATTTTTGATAGTTACATTTATATTATTAAAATAAGATTAATTTTTTAAAAAATTTTAGTTTGTAAAACTAATTTTAAAAATAATTATAATTGGAAATAAAAAAACGTTTGACAGACGTTTTGTTTTTTTCATTAAATTTAGCTGTTCACTTCACAATTTTTTAATTTTCTTTAACAAAAGAATTTGTTCAAAAAAATTATTTTTAAAAAATTGCATCTTTAATTTATTAAAATTTCTACATGTCAATTTTTGTCTAATTTCTCTGTTAAAAAAATTCTTAAAATTATCAAGTATCTAAATTAATTTTTGTAAATTTATTACAAGTGTTTTTATTCTTTAAAAAATACCTGTAATTATTTTATTGACTAAAACGAATGAAAATTAAGTTAGCCAACATCTAAAAATTTTTTTTATTGAAAAAATTATTACCAAAAATAATAAGAAAAAAATTTAATAAATTAAAAAAAAAATTATAATTAAAAACTAACTTTAGTCTTATCTAAAATTACTCTTTTTTATGATATTAATTTTTATTATTGGAGAAAATAATATTGATTTGTTTAGTTAAAAAAAAAAAACTAATTTTTTTTTCCTATATCTTCTTCTTAAAAAAAAATAAGATGAAAAATATGTGTTGCAAACTATTCATAACATGATTGGTCAAATATATCATAAACATGAAAATATATGCAAGCTCCATATTCAGGCGCGCACTTGCGCGCGCAAATTCAATTCCAATATTTTTTTTAAATTAGTTAATTTTTTTTATGAAAACAAAGTTAGCTGATATTTCAAAATTTTTGGAAATTTTTTATTGAAGAAATTTAAATTAAACAATTAAAAAAAAAATTGTCTCATGTAAAAAACTTGAAGAACTATAAGTGCAATTTTTTATAAATATCTTTTTAGTTGTAATTTAATTAAAAAAAAAAAAAATCAAAAATTTTTACACGTCTGCTAACTTCAGTGTCATTTTTTTTAGGTTAAAAATGAAGACCAATTACGTTTCATCAGACAAAATAGTTGAGAAAGAAGTACTAATCCACGGAAGTATAACAAATAAACCCGATGAAAAATCAATTTGTCATTTAAAAATCTCAGATGTAAAAATCCCAGAACACTTAAACGTGGAACTGAACTCTAACCTCCTAGAATCTGGAAAAAAAATTCTGGTGATTGGCGAAGCAGATTCCGAGGTTGATCGGCAGATAGAACGTGCCGTAAGATGGATGGGCGAAGGTGAAACCTCTTTGGTAAGAATAAACCTGCCCTGCCCCCTGGTGGTGGAACTAAAAATTACTTTAGTTAACCACGAGGAATTCAAGCCAATCTGGGACTGGACGCCGGAAGAAAAGTTCGAAGTAGCTGCTCAGTATAAGGAACGTGGCCTGAAGCTGATGCAGGAAAATAGAGTCAAGGACGCGTTTGTTCGCTTCAGCAAAGCCGTCAGCTTGATCATAACCTTGGAACCGATTTCGGACCTGCAGCTCCCCCTGGAGTTGAAACGGAAAATTGATAGACTGAGGACCAGTTTGTATAACAACATGGCGATGTGTCAGCTGAAGCATGAGAACTTTGAACATGCTATTTCACTTTGTTCAAAAGTTCTGGCTAGGGACAAGAACAATGTCAGGGCGATGTACCGGCGAGGATGTGCTTTTGCGGGGGTGAAAAATATTGAAAGTGCGTTATTTGACTTTCAGAGGGCAGTACACATCGAGCCCAACAATGGGTTAGTTTGGAAGAAAATGGTGACTTATAGCAAACTTTGGGAAGAAGCAACTAAAAAAAGTGATAATTTGTTGAAGAAAATGTTCAAAATTTAAAAAATTTTAGTTATATAATTAGATTTCATTTTTTATAAAATTTTTTTGATTTCATTTTGTTTTTTTTTAATAAAGAAATTCAAGGGATTCTGTTAAAACAAATTGTTAACCTATAATTCACTCTATGATTCATTAATAACAATTATATCTTCTTTAAAATAAAATTTATCAATGTAATTCTTTTTCTAATTGATTTTTGGGCCTAAAATACAGGTTTATAAAAAAAAATTAATTTAATACTACTTATAGTTTCATTATAATTGCCAAAATAAGTCTAAATACGGCAGCAATTACTGGCGGCCATATTGAACAGTGTTGAAGACAGTTCAGCTTGGCGGTAAATTTAAAAATGTAATTTTTAATTTAATAAAAAATAAAATAAAATAAAAATAATTTTCTTTTAATTAATTAAAAAAAATGTTAAATTTACTGGCGTATTAAAAAGAAAAACTAATAACAGATACTAAGTGACCATTAAAACATAAACAATTAGGTTAACAAATTGTTAACCTCTATGATTCTCTAATTACTATTATATCTTCTTTATAACAAAATTTATTGATGTAATTTTTTTTCTAACCGATTTTTGGGCCTAATATACAGGTTTGAATGAAAAAATTACTTGTATACTACTGATAGTTTTATTATAATTGCCAAAATAAGTCTAAATACGGCAGCAATTACTGGCAGCCATATTGAACAGTGTTAAAGACAGTTCAGCTTGGCGGTAAATTTAAAAATGTAATTTTTAATTTAATAAAAAATAAAATAAAAATGATTTTCTTTTAATTAATTAATTTTTAAATAAGAAAATGTAAAATTTACTGGCGGATTAAAAAGAAACTAATAATAAATACTAAGTAACCATTAAAACATAAACAATTAGGTTAATAAATTTTAATGAAACACAGATAATATACAAAAATATGCGCATTTATTCTACCCATAATTACACGCGCATTACCTTTGAATAAAAATAATCGCAGAGAGCTTAATTATTAATTTATTGAAAAAATAAATAAACAAACATTGTTTTATTAATTAATATTAGATTATCGTTAAAAATGTTATCAATTCAGCCAATTATTAATTTATAATTACGCTAGTATGGCAGATTAAAAACAAAAGTACTTGACATGTCTACGTATTTAAGTTAATTATATACAATAAACTTGAAACAATAATGACAGCTTATATTATCAATAATCATATCATAAATATATATATATATATATATATATATATCTACATTAACTTTAAAACATCGACATTACAATAGATATTATTTAGTTAAACTCTCTGATTGTGTATAAAAACATTTAATCGTGCATTAAAGACCCTACTGTCAACAATAAAATTTTTAATTGTTTATTGTTGATCCTTCAACATACAACACTGTTATAATCTGTAAATACTGTACATACATTCACTCAACATAATTTTTTAAATAATAGATTATATTAGAATGTATTAGAATTGTCTAGCATCAGATTAACAACAATTCTACCCATAATCTCGCTTGAATTTATTGTTAACCTTCAAGCACGATTTTAGGTTACCTTAAAACCGATAATTTAATAATATAAAATGTTTTTTAGTTTTTTTTTAGTTTCTTTTTATTAATTACGGTACTTTATATTTTCCGTTAATTGCTGCGTTGGCAAGTGTTGAGTTTGCTGAGTTAGCTGCGTGTTGAACAGCAACATGCACCGATTTCTCGACAAATCGTTGATAGACTGGTTTCATTATCTATAAATAAATTATTAATTACAATTATTTTAAATAATTCATTTATTTAAAAGGTCTGATTAATAAAAAATTCAAAATTTTCTTTTTAAATCAAATTTAATAAATCTATATTATTAAGAGAATAAGAAAAATTTTGTCTCAAGGATAGTCATGTGATAGTCGGTTTTTTTAATGAAATTTAGTATCATTGCAAAGGTCTTGATTTGAATTTGTACCTTTTCAAAGTTTCATATGATTTTTACCAAGATCCAATTTATGATGATAAGTATTTAGTCTGTATTTGAAAATGTTGTATCTCTAGATACATAATTAAGAAATGACTTTGTAACTTGTGAACTATTGACATTTTTAAAGATATAAGCTCATCCTGATGTTAGTCTCATCGAGACCTTTCATTTGAGTACCCACATCAATTTTTTATATATTTATATATATTATATATATGTATATATCAAAAATATATATATATAATATATATGTATATATCAAAAATGTATGTGGGTATTCAAATAAAAGCTCTTGATGAGCGTAACATCAGGATGAGCTTATATTTTTAAAAACGTCGATAATTAATAAATGACCTTGTATCTTGTGCACGATTGACATTTTTAAAGATATAAGATCATCCTGATGTTACACTCATCGAGACCTTTCATTTGAGTATCCACATAAACGTCAACTAAATACACTACTATGCATTATGTCAATATATGTATTTATATCTTCTAATGCAATAGTCAGCGTAGTAGGAAATTTCAAATTTCGCGTCATGCTGATTGTAAGGCTATCGTTAGTGTAAACAAGCCTTTAATCCCATATTTCCTAATATAAAATTGAGATGAAATGTATGTGAAACCAATCTATTCGTGATGTGATTGGTTGAAAATATTTATTCTCATTCTGATTGGTTGAAAGTTAATATAATATACATAAACGACACATAAATATATTATGACAATAAATATGATGCGCGCGCTTGCGCGCGAAAATTAAATTCTAGTTCTAGTCCTAATATAAAATTGAGATGAAATGTATGTGGCATCAAACTATTCGTAACGTGATTGGTCAAATATATCATAAGTATGAAAATATATGCAAACTCTATAGTCAAGGCGCGCGCTTGCGCGCGTAAATTTAAATTCTAGTCCTATAATAAAATCCTAATATAAAATAGAGATGAAATGTATGTGGCATCAAACTATTCGTAACTTGATTGGTTGAATATATCATAAGCATGAAAATATATGCAAACTCTATAGTCAAGGCGCGCGCTTGCGCGCGTAAATTCAAATTCTAGTATATCAAAAATGCATGTGGGTACTCAAATGAAAGCTCTTGATGAGTGTAACATCGGGATGAGCTTATATTTTTAAAAACGTCGATAATTAAGAAATGACCTTGTATCTTGTGAACTATTGACATTTTTAAAAATATAAGATCTTCCTGATGTTACACTCATCGAGACCTTTCATTTGAGTATACACATCAATCTTTCATAAATTTATATATATATGTGTATGTATATATGAAAAATATATCAAAAATGCATGTGGGTACTCAAATGAAAGCTCTTGATGAGTGTAACATCGGGGTGAGCTTATATCTTTAAAATGTATACTGTATATGTGTATACATGAAAAATATATCAAAATGCATGTGGGTACTCAAATGAAAGCTCTTGATGAGTGTAACATCGGGATGAGCTTATATATTTAAAAACATCAATATTTAAGAAAGTACAGTGCAATTTAACAAAAGTCAATATTTAATAGAGCAAAATTTTTTTACTCAATTTACAATTTCTTGGTTCAAGAAATTCGATGACGATCAAATATTCTACTATTATTAATTATTAATTTCTGAAAAGAAGAGCATCAATATTTATCTTTGGATAATAGATAAACAAGAGAATAGCTTTATTTAAATTACGTAAAAATCATTTCAATCAATTTAACAAATTCTTGACTCAAGAATATATATTCTAGAAAATTTTCAAGAACATTAATTCTTGTATCAAGAAAATTTTCTTAATAAAAGTATTTTTTTCTCAGTGTACTTCGAAAACTTATGATAAATTATCTATTTTATTGTTAGAAAAGTATATAAAAAATTGAAAAAGCCCAAATTCAGGTCTCTATCTTTCCATTTAATTTTAAAAACTTATTTTATCATAAATAAGTACCCCGGCTACAAAATTTTCTTTATTCTCTTAATTAGATAGATTATAAACTCAATTTTTGACTAGTAAAGTAATTTAATTATAAATTTGTATTAAATTAACCTCAAAAATTAAACCGCCATTTTCTTTATCACAGACGCCATTTTGTTGTTTCTTTAGCCCCAAACTGGGAAAATCAATTAATTCGAATTCTTATCTTGAAATCAAGTGAAAATTTTGAGTTTTTTTAACATCAGACCTTAAAAGATAAAATAAATAGGTGAAAAATGCTAAAATAACCAATAAAAATTATTTTTCACGCCTTTTTGGCATTTTTCACATAAAATATTAATATTGTTAAATAGTCTAAGAGTACTATACAAGCAACCTAAATTACCTTGAGATCCAAAGCACTCGTGGGTAATCAAATAAAGTAAAGGTATAATAAAAAAAAAAAAGATTAATTTAATTGTAATTGTATTAATGATAAAATAATGATGATAATTAAAAATCTAGGGTCTAAAGGATTGCGTGAGATCAGATGTAACCGTGTTTATGAAAGTGAGTATAAACGATCGTGTAAGTTGGAACGGCTGCGAGTGTTAAAAAAAATGAGAGGACTAAATAACGTAATTGGTGGATTAGATGAGCGCATAGCCAGACCTGTTGGAAATAAATAATTAATCAGGTATTATTTAGTGATTAGTATCGAGTATTAATTATTACAGTCTATAATTAGAGATTTAATTATCGGAATCATGCAAGATAGAATTTTATTTTTAATGCTTACGTTTTCCCAGATTCCGCTCGCCAATTCGTCGATTTGCGTTCCTATTTCACGAAGCTCGCCGCTATATCTGTAATTATTATTAATAATTAATGTAATTTTTTTTTTATTAGCTGATCATTGCGGTCAACTTTCGAAGAATTAATTAAAAAATTTATTTTTAAAAGGCAATTTAATTAAAAAATTATGTTTTATATTAAAACTTTTTTTGTGAACGAGAAAATTAAAGGCACTAATTTTTTAAAAAGCATCCAGGACGAGAAATTTATAAATAATTTTGTAATTACCTGATATACGACCATAATACGAGAGTTAACAACCCAATTCCCATAATAAGATTACAAATATTAGCAAGCGTATAAAGTCCAACGAGTCCAAATACTCCGGAGCAAATGTACATCGTTACGGCAATGGCAAAAAATACGGCTGGAGTACGGGCTGCTTTGAAAATATTTTTACTTTCATTGTGGGCTTTAAATTGAAGGAAGGAGTCATCCATATCCTGAAAAAAAAATTAATTAGTGAATTATAAATTGCTAATTGATCAAGTAAATTTAAGAAAATATTAAAGAGATTTCTATTATTGATTTTTAATTTCTATATACTTGAAAAATAACAGAATTAAAAAAAAAAATTGAATTGAAAAAAGTCAATGCAATTAATAGTTTTTGAGATTCTGTAAAAAAAAACCTGGGGGTTAAAATTAATTTAAATTTTTTTTTTTTAATTAGAGTAATTTAAATATGAAGATTAATTTTTTTTTAATATTTCAGTCAACATAAAAATTTAAAGTTAAAAAGTTTAAAAAAAAAAATGCAAAAAAATTATTTATTCAAGGTCACAGGCTACAAATATAGGTTTTATGCTTTTTTCAGCTCAACAGTTAGTTTTATGATAAAAATAGCTCAGACAAAAATTGCAGGCTATTTGAATTAATTATCTATCAAAATTGTGCTTATACTTCTTTTCTTAAGAATTACCATTTCTAAAATACAGCAATTTTAAAAGTTGCAAAAGTCATAATCATAAAATTTTTTTTTTAATTATTTTAAGTGAAATTTTTTTTTACCGAATTTTTTTTTACAAATATTAAATTTTGTTAATTATTTACAAGTGAACTCCAATATTTTAATTTTCATTTTTTTGAACGAAATTTCTATTTAATTTTATTTATATATTTTCTTTTTTTGAAAAATGCATAAAAAAATGAACAATTTAAAAAAAAATTTATTATCACAATTTTAACAAATTTTTGAAAAATTTATAAATTTTTTAGAAAATTGCGACTTTTTTTTTTTATTGTTTGTTTTTTTATGTACTTTAAAAAAAAAAATATATTAAAAAAAGATAAAATAGAAATTTTATCCAAAAACATGAGTCAAAATTTTTTCTAACTTTTGAAGGCAAAAAAGCTATCGAAATTTTTATTTTTTTCTTTGACGACATTTTTTATAAAAAATGCGCAGTAATGACAAATTTTTAAATGTTAATTTTTCACTTAGTCATGGCCCAAAATGGGGTTGACCCCACTTAGAAATAATTACCAAATTTTTATTTAATTCTTCAAAGTGAAATTTTTTTCACAATAATTAAATTATTTATCAAAAAAAAAAAAAAAAATTTTTTTTTAGATACCTGTTAATTACCGTATTAGGGTAAATGCACCAGTTGTTGACCGGTCACCAATTAGTTGACCGATGTATAAAAAAGTTAATTAATTAATATTTTACAAGGGTTTTTTTTTTCTTAAAGTATTAAAATAAAAAAATATGGCATTTAATCATCATAATAAAAAATTACGCAATTAATTGCGCAGTGATTATAGCTTTTAAAAAATATTCAGAGTTTGTTTACAACGCAACCAGCCATAAAGCGGTCAACAATAACTAGCGTACAATTGGAGAGTGAGTGCATTTCATCATTAATTTAGTGATATTTATCGGCATAATATAAAATATTTTAGTTTTATTATGTTAATTAAAGATCAGATTCCAACTTTTTTGAAAAAATAAAGTTAAATTATAAGTTTTAATATTATTTTAAGACCGGTCAACTATTGGATCCGTCAGAAGCCCTTTACCCAGTAAAAAATTCATTCGGTCATTTATTAGACCCTCTGATTTTATCACAATCCAATTAATGACCGTATATTATTTATAATACTAACTTCTAAACCTCAAAATTAAATCTGTCTAGTGTTTAAAGGACTTTAGTCATTAAATATTTTGTAAATATAAAAATAATCATTATAAAAAATGTATATTTACAATTAAAATAATACTTAAAATCTTTTTTGAGTATTAAATTTTATTTTGTTCTAATTTTTTAGTGAACGGTTATATCAAACAACGAATTATTAGAAGAAAAAAATGCTAAGCAATTAAAAAAATAAAAAAAAAAGAGTTACAAGCTAGTAAAAAAGCTTTAATTAAAAAAAAGAAGGAGAAGAATAAAAAAATTTCAGTGAAGAATGAATCAGAAGAATTATCGTCATCAAAATGAATTAGTGATTATTTAAAATTATATTGTATGTTTAATTTTGTTAAAGATGTCGCTAATACTTTGAAAGTACTGCATAAATTTAATTACATATATGTAGTTTACAAAATTACTTATAATTATTTGAGTGGTCAATTAATTGGAGAACGGTCGGTCATTTATTGGGTTTCTTCGGTCAATAATTGGTGATTTTAGTATTTCAAGATTCAAATAACAAAATTAATATAATTTTGTTAATTTTTATTATAAATAGTTATTAATTATTATTAATTAAGTATTTAACTTTAATAGAATCCATTATAAATTGGTTTTAGTAGGTTAATAGATTTTTTATAGCTTAGTACAGAAAAAGAAAACCTTAATCGGTCAATAATTGGTGCATTTACCCTATAAACAAACCTCCAAAAATAAAATTAAAATTTTTTACTAAAAAATAAAAAAAAAATTGCAATAACTTTTAAAAATTTATAGAATTGTAATTTTTTATATTAATATATTATTTGAAAAAAATCCCAGATACTAATTTTAGTATCATACAAAATGAATAAATACCTTAACAAGTTTCTCGATGTAAGTTTGACTGAACTCATCTCCCCCCATCTTCCGTTTATTAGAAAACAAATGCAGCGCCTTATCAACGCACCTCTGGTGCTCAGATTCAAGATGCGCAGTAGCCAAGAACGGTTTAGTGCCACCGCATACACATTCCATCATCTGGAGATAGAGGTCCTTGGCATCTGCTACAGCAGAGAGATTATTAGCCTCGGCAGTCGCTACCAGCATGCTTTTGGGTTCCGGAAGTTCGTCGCCCTTGTAGATCTTAATGTAACTCTTAAAGTACTCAAGCAAATCCCTGGCCCGAACAGTCTGCCCGTTTATTTTTTTAGTCACCAAGTTCTCCGGCGAGAGCAGTGAGGGAATAAGTTCCTTGAGCTGGTGCTTGAAGTCCGACTCAATCTCCACCAGTCTGCCGTCAAACTTGGGGTTGGTGGCGATTTTCAGACCCGGGTGGGGCATCAGAAAGCAAGAGATGTCCGAGAAGCAGGACTTTATGTGCTTCCTAAGACTCTGGAGCTCCGGGTGTTGGCGGTCGGAAATTTCCAGTCGTCTCTGGAGGATTTTCTGGCCACCCTCGGCTCCGTATTCGGCCTCGTAGGGGTAGCTCCAGTCCCGGACCAGGAACTCGAGCTTTTGGAACGGAGTGTTCCCTGATTTCTCCAGGGCTAGTCGCCCGTACTCGGTGAACAGCTGGAGATGCTGGAGGTCGTCTTCCTGGATGTTCTGCGACAGGTTGAAGATCTGGACTGAGGACAGCATCGTGCTCAGGGCAAATACTGTCGCGCAGTCTCGCACTGTCGATTGGCTGTCGAACGCCCCCTGGGTGTCCATCAGGATGATCGCGACCTTCTCACCGTTTGGCATTGTTCCTGGGAACACTTTTGACCACATTAAGATTCCGGTTGTGTCTCGCTCAGAACCTCCGCGCCAGGAAAAGCCACTGAGAGGCTCATTGTCATCGCCAATCCACGAACTTGGAGATTTATTGTTGCCATACTGGAATTTTATTTAGTTATTAATTATTTTGTACATGGAAGAAAAAATTTTTTTGAGATAAGGTAAAGAAACCAAATATTGACCAGGCAGCATAACAATTTAATTTTTAAAGGTAGTTTGGGTGCCAAATGACTTCAACTTGACCCTATATTTTTTTATATTCATTCGAAAGATTATGATTTAATACATCTATAGAAAAAAAATCAGATTTTTTTTACCACACCGTTTAAGAGATATAATTAAATAAAGTATGTCAATATTTGTAGCAATCAACTTTAACGTTAATTATTATAATCAAATGTTTATTATTATGTATTTTATAGATAAAAGTACTATATTTTAGAAGTTAACACTATAAAAAAAGCATAACACTCGTGTTAGCTCATAAAATTTTCCAATAAATTTACAAATAATCTATTTATATTAATTTTATCTAAATTGGTCAATATTCGGAGCCTTTACTCTAATTGATAAAAATTTACAGTGAAATTTTAAAATTTCTATCGTGAAAAAATTATAATTAAATTTTTCTTTTGAAAGTTACTTAAAATTCATTCTAAATAAAAAATGATCAAGTGTTGACAGTCTGGCATAAAAAGCCACTGTTAATAAATTATTCAAATTTATTTTTTTTCTCTAATATAACTAGAAACTATTATTAGGTATTAACACTATGTTTCAAGTAAATTAAACAACCTTGAACTTTTATAGCTCAACTTTGCTAAAATTAAAATAAATTTATCAGCTGTATATTCATAATTTTTAGTTGATTGTTATCAACTTATAGTTATAAATTAAAAGTCCTTCAAATTTCATCATTAAACTAATTATTTTAAAATTAAGCAGAATTTAGGAGACATTTAGAAATTCTAAAAATTTTTTTAATAAATTAATTAATATAAAAAAATTGTTTTAAAAAATTCTCACTTATAATTTTCTAAAATTTTTATACTTTGGAATTTTTTTTTCATAATGATTAAATTATTGTAAAAATCTAAAAAATTTTTTAGATGTCTGTTAAATTAATTATCATAAATTAAAATTCAATAAAAAAATTTTTTCAACTTAGCAAAGTTAAGTTAGACTTAGAAGAAAAAAAAAATAGTAATAATTCCCAAAAAAAATTACTTGATGGTTCATGTAACGAAGAAAAAAATCAAGAAGGAAACTTTTTCCTTTGCGAAAAGCCCCAGCAACAGATACGACCACAACACTGCGGTCTTTGATGTCATCCTTGAGAAGAATTTCAGCGAGCGCGTCTTCGTCAAGCTCGAATGTGTGATCAGGATGCGCCAGCACAACTTGGACAGGTCGCCCGCCGTCCTCGCTCTTTTTTACGTCATCCATCGGCTTGGATCTCACGGATGACGGCAGCTCCTCTATCCTCTCCGTTTTTTTGTCATCTAAAAAAAAAGGTAATCTCAGTATTTATTTTTAAGCAAAAACCTCCATCTTGCTTAAACTAGTTCTAGACTACTAGAGGCTAGATTGTGACGAGCACGAGGATTGTAATTATCAACGTCCGGGATTACGTATTAGATTTTCTGAGGCATGATCCGCATAAATTTTAATTTATTCACTCATACATGACAGTCTGAGAAAAACATTGTTACATATGCCACAAGTCATGCAAGTTAACTTATGTTTTGGAAATTTTATCACGCACTTTTTTTTTTTAGAAAATAATAACTTTTTTTATTTTTAAAAACACTTTTTTTAAGAGTTTTAAATGAAAATTAATTTAGCGGAAATTTGACAATTTTTTTTAACAAGTAAATTATGGTAAAAAATAATTAGAAAAAAAAAATTGACATTTAAAAATTTTTAAAAATAAAAAATGCAATTTTTTAGAAATAATTTTTTGGAAAAAATCTTTTTGTTAAATAAAATTAAAAAATTGTCAAGTGACAGCTAACTTTAACTAAATTTTATAATAAATTAATTTTAATAATAAAAATGCTTTCTAAAATTTTCTCTTGTTATTTTTTTTTTAATTTTCACAAGTGGAATTTTTTTATTAAATTTTTTTTTCAGTGTAAAAAAAAAATAACCCAAAAATGTCAGCTGATAATTTCACTTTTATCAAAAATAGATTTATGTTATTAATTTCAATATTTTTAAGTAAAAAAATTGAAAAATATTTTGAAATTAATTAACTAATTTAAAAAAATTTTGTTAATTACAAATTTGATAATTTTTTATACAAAGTTAGGAAGTAAAAAGCTTACAAATTATTTTTTTGTCTGCTAACTTCAGTTTGATCAAAAATAAGGTAGACAATTCTTAGTTTTTGAATTTTAAATTAGAAAAATTAAAAATTAAAAAATTAAGAATCTTAATTAGAAAATTTATAATAAATTGTGTCAAAATTGAATCAATTAATTTTTTACAATTTAGAAGATAAAAATCAAAGAAAATATTTTTATGACTGCTAACTTCAGTTTGACCAAAAAAAGACAAGTTAAGAATTAATTTTTTGAGTTAGTTAATTAAAAATCAATAATTCAAATTTAAAAACTTTGAATAAATTCATCAAAATTGAAAATATTAATTTTTAACAATAATTTAAAAGATGAAAATCAAAAACAATATTTTTTTGACGTTTAATTATAATTTTGAAGTTACCTGACAATTTTTTTTAATTTTTTTAATAAATCAATTACAATAAAAAAATGCTTTAAAAAATTTCCACTAATAATTTTTCTCAATTTTTACATGTTGAATTTTTTTTTATAATAATTTTATTGCTATAAAAAAATTTCTTATGTCAGTTTAATAAAAAAAAAACAGGCAATTATTAATTTTTTAAAATTGATTACTACAAAATTAATAATTCAAATTTGATAATGATAATTTTAAATAAATACCTCAAAATTAAATTAATTTTTTACAACAATTTAAAAGATAAAAATCAAAAACAATATTTTTTTGACATCTAACTAATTTTGAATTTCTTGACAATAGTCAATTTTTTTAATTTTTCTAATAAATCAATTACAATTAGAAAATGCTTCAAAAAATTTCCACTAATAATTTTTTTTAATTTTCATAGTTGGAATTTTTTTTTATAATAATTTTATTATTATAAAAAAATTTCTAATGTTAGTTAACTTCAGTTTGATCAAAAACAGTCAATTATAATATAAAATTAACAATTCAAACTTGAAAATTTTTAATAATTATCTCAAAATTGAATCAATTTTTTACAACAATTTAAAAAATAAAAATAAAACAAAACAATATTAAAGAAAAAATTACTGACATTAAATTAGAGAACTTCTTCTTAAATCCCAATAAAATAATTAAAACACTAAAAAGTTATTCACACAGAGTAACCTGAGCAAGTTAAAACTTAAGAAAACAAAAAAAAAACGAAGTAATGAAACTAAACGCAGAGATATAAAACTCACCGAATTTACCTACACCCCCATCATCACTTATCTTGTGTGAAGATAAAGATAAACGATTAACATTTTCGTCAAGACGATAAGTCACCGGGGGTTTAGTAGCTGTAAATAAAATTTATAAATACCAGTAATTTATAACAAAGTTTATTTATTGTTTGTAAAATTACCACGCGCTACCATTCCAAAACCATCTGGAAGTCTACGACGTGAAATCGGGCGACTGGCATTTTTATTATTACTACTGATATTACGCTTGCTTACACTTTCACTCATTGTCAAAATTATTGTTAATGTTAATTAATATAATAAAATTGTCATTAAATTATTACTTCATTGCCATAAGATAAACTGTTGCCCAATCCGCGACGATCAGAGACAAGTTAACGCGGTATACTAACTTTAGCATCCCGAATACCAGACGCTGGTTTACTCTGCAGTTATATTAATCTAAAACTAAATTGGCATACTTGCAAATCGACCTTGTGTTTTACGGAATTATTCAACGGCTTGTACTTATTATTACAACTTTATTACATTATTTATTCCTGACTGTACACGTGTATTTTAATTACTAGGAAAATAACAGCTACATTTTTGTGGATTTTATTTTTTTAATTTATTTTATTGTCATGCTTTTTGTTAAAATTATTCTTTTTAAAAATTTTTTTGTTTTTCTTTTTTATAAATATTAAAAGAAAAATTATTTTATGCTAAAAGATTTTAATTTTGTATTTAATTTTTTTTTATCGTTTAAAATTTATAAAAATAATTTAATTAATCAAAATTTTGAATAAAAATAAAGTTATAGATTATTTTATAAATTTTTAAATGAAAAAAAATTTAATTATGAAAGTTAATAAATTTTTTAATTAAAAAACTATAAAATTTTTATAGCTTTAAATTAAAAATAAAAATCAAAAAATTGAAATTATTTTTATAAAATAATAATTGCAAAACAACAAATAAAAAAAATTTTTTTAGAAGATTAGAAAGTTTGGAAATTTTGTAAAAAATAAATAAATAATCTAACAGATAAATTAAAAATTTTTCAAGTAAATAAAAATGAACAAAATTTTCTAATTAAACAGTTAAAGACTTGAAAAAAAAAAAAAAATTAACAGAAGAACTTTAATTAAAATATTTGCCAATAAAATTCCTGTGTAAGTTAAGAAAATTATTTTATACTCAAAGATTTTAAAATTGTATTCAATTATTTTTTTTTTTGATAAAAATTTATAAAAATAATTTTAAAAAATTTAGATTTATCAAAATGTCATAAAATTTTGAATAAAAATGAAATTATAGATTATTTTATAAATTTTTATATGAAAAAAAAAAAAAATTTTATTATAAAAGTTAATAAATTTTTTGATTAAAAAACTATAAAATTTTTGTTATTAAATTTTTATAGCTTTAAATTTAAAAAAAAATTGAAATTGTTTTTATAAAATAATAAATATTTGCAAAGCTACAAGTAAAAAAAATTTTTTTAGAAGATTAAAAAGTTTAGAAACTTTTATAAAAAATTAATAAATAATTAACAGCTAAATTAAAAATTTTTCAAGTAAATGAAAATAAACGTAATTTTCTAATTAAACAATTAAAGACTTGAAAAAAAAATAAAAAACAAAAAGAAGAACTTTAATTAAAATATTTGCCAATAAAATTCCTTTGTATTTATTTAGTCCCAGTAATTAAAGGCTCGCAATTGATTGGCCATTCACGTGCATGAATAATTCAAGGGGTTAATTAGTCAAAATTTAACCGTTCGACGGAATAGCTTTGTGAAAATATAAAAGTAACATTTTATCACCATCATTATTATTATAATCGATGATGAACATTCATTCAACTGTTTTTTTCATTCAAAATCTGTTATTACATCTCGAATCTTACGTGGCGCTTCGCTCGCTCATCACCATACTTATTTTTTGACACACTTAATTGACATAAATAGTCAATAATTATCAATAATTTATAAAAAATAAAAATAATAAGAATTATAATAATTATAATACTGTTGGTTATGATTATAACTTTCTAGAAAATAAAAAAAAAAAAACATCTGAAAATGAATAATTGATAAAATTAAAATCGGTCACGACATTACTCGGCACTTTTAACTCATTGCGATACAATTGTTGGTAATTATTTTTCACGATTATAAATACTCTTATAAAATTGTTCGTAAATAGAAACTGATGAGATAAATACATATGTAAAGTACTGAAAAGTCCATGTGTAAGAAAAGAAAAAAAATTCACATCAATTAAAAACAAAAAACTGGCGGAAAAAATAGCAAAAAAATAGCGCAATTATTTAATTAAAAGTACTGTAATTGTTAATTAGTGTAAATTAATTATAAAAAAGCTTACCAGAATATAAATCCGTACTAAAATTTTCCTCTTGTTTACGTCGGTGTTGTCTGACACTCGCCATTTTGAAAAATAAGTTGCGCTGGAGGTACACTGGCGGCGCTTCGGAGATAAATTAACTTTCATCATTTCCGTTTATGTTTTACTGCGTAATTACTTGTTGTAAATGTTTGTAATTACTCTTTATTATTGTTTTATAAGTTTTTATGAAAATAATAAAGTAGTTTGATTAATTTTTTTTAAAATTTAGTTTTCGCGGGAAATTTGAATTTTAAATTTTATTTAAATAATAATTATGGATTTAAAATTTTAGGGTAGTTTTTTAAATTTAATTTTATAAATTACTAATTGTTTATTGTAATTTTTATATAAAATTTATAAATTTATTTTATATTAATTTATAAACTTTGAATAATAAATATTTAAATTAATTAGACAACTTTTTAAAAATTTACTTAGTAAAATAATAATAATAATGATGACATTGAAGTTAACTGTCACTTAACCATTTTTTAATTTTTTTTTAACAAATAAATTTGTTCTAAAAAATTATTTTTTAAAAAATGCATTTTTTAATTTTTAAAATTTCTCTTTGTCAATTTTTTTTGCGTTAATTTATTTGTTAAAAAAATTCTTAAAATTATTGAGTATCTGCTAAATTAATTTTCAATAATAACGAAATTAACAAAATTATTTTTATGAAAAATTGTGGATAAAAAAATGAAAAATAAAATTTTTACAATAAAATATTAAATTTAAAATAAAAGAAAAAATTTAATTATCAACAATTGAAAAATAAATAAATTTATTGTAAGAACAAAAAAAACAATTTGACTCTGAAGTTAACAGACAATATAAATTTTTTTAAATTTTATAGTAATGAAATTATTATGAAAAAAATTTATGAAAATTAAGTTAGCTGACTTCTAAGAATTTTTAGAATTTTTGATATTGAAATGAAAATGAAGTTAACCGACATTTCAAAATTTTTAGAAAATTTTTATTGAAAAAATTTTAATTAAACAATTAAATAAAAATGTCGGCTAACTTTAGTGTTCAGATATTTAATAGTTTTTAATAATTTTTTTGATGAAAATTAAGTTAGCCGACATCTAAAAACTTTCAGAAATTTTTTTATTGAATAATTATTAAAAAAAGAAGAAAATAAAAAATTTCACTTGTAAAAAACTTGAAAAACTATCAGTGCAATTTTTTAAAAATATTTTTTAGTTTTTATTTAATAAATAATAAATAATTAAAAAATTGAAAATGTCGGCTAACTTTATTATTATTTTTTTTGTCATAATTTATATAATACTGAAGTTAGCTGTCAGCTTACAATTTTAAAAATTTTTTTAACGAGTCAATTCCACAAAAAAATGCTTTTAAAAATTTTCACTTGTTATTTTTATTAATTTTCACACGTGGAACTTTTTAATTAATTTTTTTTTTATAATAATTTAATTGCTATAAAATTCTAAAAAAATTTTTAATATCTGTCAACTTCAGTGTGTGATTAATTTATTTATTAAAGAAAACTAAAAATATTGTCAAGTGACTGTTAAATTTAATGTCATATAAATATGAAAATGAAGTGAACGGACATTTCAAAATTTTTATAAATTTTTTATTGAAAAAATTTCAATTACACAATTAAAAAAAAAAATTGTCACTTGTAAAAAACTTGAAAAACTATAGGTGCAATTTTTTAGAAATATTTTTTTAGTTGTAATTTAATTAATAAAAAAAATCAAAAATCAAAAATATAAATAAATTAAAAAAATTAACAGCTGTCAGCTAACTTCAGTATCATAAAACAGTATAAAAAAAAATTCCCGCGTTAATCAAACAAGAGCTTTTAATAGTTCGGTGGTTGGCTGTCTTGAACTTTTTGTCGCTAGTATCGCTAAATTCTCTATGGTGGAAAGTAAAAATGTTAAAATGTGGATGCTGTGTGCGCAGTGTATCGGGTGTACCGTGTCGCGTGCGATGTTTTGCGTTAAGTTGTTTTTATTTTTTTCCCTCGATTATTTAAATCCGGTGGAATAGAACAAAAACAACAATGACAGTGTCTTCGGGATAAATTATTTCAACAATATCGGTAAGTAACTCACGTTTTATTATCATAATAAACTTAACTCAAGTAATCAGCGACAAACTAACCCCTGACCGCAGTTTGATTCTTACTTTGTTGATGTTGATGTTGATAAGTAATTGTCGGGGACATTAGACTGACGTAAAAATACGCGGGAAATCCCTAAAGAGTAACAGAGACACTAATGGTCAATAAAAAGAATGTGTGCCAAGTTTGAATTTATTTTTTTTTCCGGTAAAAAAAAAAAAAAAAAAAAAACATTTATTTTTTTCCTTTGAGAATTTTTATTCCAACCGCGCTTTGTAAAATTTAAGGTTTGTTTATTATTAAATTATTATTTTAATTAATTAAAATTTACTTTAATGTATTTCGCAATTTTCGCTAATTAATTAAACTTTTTTTATTTTATGTTTTACCGCTTCCTGGTATGAAGTTTGAGGCGTAATTAGCTCTTATAGTACACAAAACTTATAGTTACATATTTATTTTATTTTATCACCGAGATTCTAATCGGAAGTATGCTGGAAGTTTAACAATAACGCAACGACGTGAGTTACAACAAAGGATTTTATTTATTAGTTGTTTTTTTTCAATGCGATTGTCTTTGTTCGGATTTTACGGCTCGCTGGAGAAATTTTAATGAAAATTAGATTGTTTTATATACTCAATATCGAATTTTTATTCTTGTATTTTTGCAGGATACGTATTTTTTTTTTTTAATACTCAAACAAGTTTTTTTAGGTTGATAAAAAAATTAATTCATTTCAAAAATAAATTTTTTTGATTCAAAAAAATTATTCTTAAAGATTTTTTGGTCTTAAATTAAACAGATAAATTTTTTCAAACCAAGAAAAAATTTTTATATTTTTTTTTTAATTAGATTTTTTCTAAAAATCAAATTTAGTTTTTGAAGTACAATAGAAGGATAATATCTAATTTTTTACACGAAAAAATTAGAATTCTAATTGAAATAGTTAGTTAGTTATTTATTTTTATGCCAAGGCTATAATGGCCGAATGGCAAATACAAAATTACATATTTAATAATATACAGTACAAATAAAAATATACATTATTAGTTTAATTACTTATTTTAGTACCTAAGTATTATTATTATTTTAGTATTGATTTATTGAGTTTTAATTCTTTATTTGTAAATTTATATTATGATTTAACTGAGATGATAACTTAAGACAACGTCTGAGCTTACTCATAAAATTGAAATTACAATACCCTACTTTGTTGTTAACAATTTATATTTTTTAATTATTTCATACAATTTTCTAATAATCTTAAGTCTTAAATGATGAATAACTATCATTATATCTTATAATGATTTACTTAGTATTAGTGTACAATAACTTAGATATCTAATTTAAACAAGTAGTCAAATAAATTATTCTTAAATGCTTCAAGACTAGTTGCATTTATTATTTCATTTGGTAATTCTTCCCAGAGACGGATTGCAGTAACAACAAAAGAAGTCTCATAATAAGTTGTACAAAAATTTGGCATTTTAAAGTTAAAGTTGTTTTTCTTTATTGCTAATCTTTCTGATCTTCTTATATCCATAAATACTATAAATACCATAAATACAACACGGGAAAAAGAAAACTCGAAAAATTACAGTTCGAAATAACATTTTTCTAAATTCAAACTTTGAATGTTAATTTTTAGAGCTTTCAATGTAAATATTACATTCTACAATGTAATTCTTATAAAATCCATAATAATTACAATGTAAAACTGTAATTTTTCCAGTTATCATCACGGAGTGCCACGTTACATTATATAATGTAATTTTTTTTTTTTCTGTGAAAAAAAAACATTCAAGTGCTTTTTTTTTTTTAAGAATTTTATGCTCTATTTACAGAGTTAAATATTAGGGTTTTACTTTTGTTGTAATTAAAATTTAACTTTGTTAAAATAAAAATTATTGTAGTTTTGTACAAAGGCATTTATTCAATTTTTTTTTAATTTATCTGTGATTGCTACAAAAATCAAAAAATTTGGCTCAAATATCATAGCTACGAAACAAATATCTCAGTATTTTTTTATAGAGCTCAAAATTATCTGCAACAAAATACTGAGCTGTTTTTTTTTATATTTTAGCTCCAAGTTTCCAAGTAAAAAATAGAAACATTTTTTAACTTAAATTTTTTTTAAGATATGAAAAAAATATCTCAGTACTTGTTTTTAGAGCACAAAATTCTCTACAAAAATGTACTGAAACAGTTTTTTTTTCGTATCTTTGATATTTGACCCAAAATTCAAATTTTTGTAACGCTTACAGCCTTTCAAAAAAAAGTTTAAAATTTTTCATAGGAATTTAAAAATAATATTGTGGCCAAAAAATCGAATAAAAAAATCTCAGTATTTTTTTTATAGTGAATTTAAGTTCCACAGAAAAGTACTGAGATATATTTTTCGTATCTCTGATATTTCCGCCAAAATTTGAATTTAAAAAAAAAATAAAAACTTTCTACAACTTTGACAAAAAATGACCAATTTTTCTGCAATCAGATAATTTAATTTATAATAAAATTGTCACTTTCAGACGGAAAAAGCGGTTTAAGTATTTCAACAAATCAGACATAATACCTAACAAATCTAACCTACTATATACAGCATATTCGGTGTGGCCTTATGCGATGCTCCAAATCCCCTCTCATGTAATCCGTAAATATGCAGCAGTCACCCCAATTCGTCATCAGAGGCGAATATATCCGCGCATTATAAATTATGCAGGAACACGATGAGTGCATGTCGACATCTCGGGCGCAGTTTGTCCATTATGGTTAATTCCGTATGAGGTTTATGTTTCCCATCATGCAGTTGGCATACAAAATCTTATACACGTGCCCCTGAATTTAATACCGGTCGCGATCGCATTATCGATGATTGGAATCGCCAATAAAATTAAAAATAATGTTATTGTTGCTGCTGAAAAATTCATATCCAAGTTTCTTTATATAATAACCTCCTACGCCGAGTTGACACGGGGTGAGTTTTGTACAAGGAGAGAAGAGACTTTA